ATATATATATATATATACTGTTTATATGGACTGTTTATCTGTCAAAATAATTTGAATTCTGTTCAGCCACACTGCCAGGAGGGAGGCGCTACTATTTAAAGTTGTAGCTTTGCATTACACCTGCCCGCTGCATTCTATTGCAGTCTTTAGATGTGGTGGCTGCATTACTTTTCTTTTTTGGGGATTTTATTCTTTCATTTTCAGCTGGCAATCCTGCCAGTAATACTCTTCCTGTCCTAGGGTGACAATGTTTACTACTTTGTATCTATTGAGGTGCTGCATTGTCACCCTAGACTTCTCTCCTGATTTGGACTACAAACACCCCTGTCTCCCTTACATTGGGGTGGAGGTTTTCTGTAGTTCACAGAAGATAGCTGGTAAGATGATAAGATTGTTTGAGGCATCATTTTAGTACACAGTAAGTTACAGTCACACTGGTTTTCTATCGGGATTAAAGGGCTTCTTTCTAATTGAAAAAAAAATGTACTTAACCCGATAAAAGAAAACAAATGCAGCCACTACGTTTGAGAACTGGTAAGCTGCAATATCTGACATTTGTGTTCTTGTGTTCAGATATCATAAAGCTGAGCTCTGGGGAAATTAAAAAATACAGTGCAATACCCTGTACTGCAAGGGTTAAATGCTTATTTTTGTTGCGGGTACCAGTAAAAAGCACCTTTACTCACCTAATCTCTGAGCTGTGACATCATCATGAACAATGCAGGACCATCAGTCCTGCATTGTAACTGGGGACACCAAGGGCCCACCCTCAAGCTGAAGCGTTGGAGAGATGAGGTGAGCGCTGGCTGCCGGGGAAGGGGCGGTGGCCAGTGAGGAATATAAGGTGTTAGGGTTCGGGTGCTTTTTACCGGTACCCTAGTACGCTAGTAACTAATAAGTTAGCATTTCACCCTTGCAGTGCGGAGGGGACCCCATTGCAAGATTAATTTTTTTTTCATATTCCCAGAATGCAGCTTTAAGGAAATTTTTACTTTAGGTTCTCTAATTAAAAAATGGGCAATTTATTTAGTGCATGTAAAATATATATAATAATGATTATTTACTATAGGTGATGTGGATATATAAAATGAGTGCATGTTCTGCTGTAACAAGAACTATAGTCAATGCTGCTGTAGCTGTTCTGAGTTATTATGTACGAATACCCGTTAAATGATTGTGTGTCTCCCATCCCTGCAGAGATCGGAGGGAATCCTTTTAGGGGTTGTTGGGTCTGATGTCCCCCTGCGGGAACTGTTGAAGTTGGCGCCCAGGTACAAGGTGAGCTCCTACCTGAAACATTGAACTTCCACTGATCAATCATTTTCTACATGTGTCTGTAGCAACACCTGGTGGCAGTATGATAAATTACATCTCTGGTTCAGGCTGCACTTTGTTCAGACCAGTGGAAAAAGCATTTTGTGTCAGAGTGGACCTGTCATCTCCCCACATGCGGCTTATTCAAAATATTAATGTTAAATAGTGAAACTTCTGAAAATAATGATTTTAGAAGTTTCGTTCTTATTCTCAGCTTGGCGTCCATGGTTATGCCTTCCTGAACACGAACAATGGCTACATACTGTCACATCCCGATTTACGTCCACTGGTAAGTACCTGTGAAGGACCAACTAAGAATTCAGGAATTGAACAAAATGTCAATTTTTCTATATTTAGATTTTTTGTTATCCTCTATAATGGGGAGAAAAGTCTTGTGACACCATCCCACTGTCATTACTCATTACATTGACTTTGAATGATCACATGAGAACACAGGGGTGGGCAAACTCCGGCCCTCCAGCTGTTGTGGAACTACAAATCCCATGAGGCATTGCAAGATTCTACAGCCATAGGCATGACTCCCAGAGACAGATGCATCTTGGGGTTTGTAGTTTCACTACAGCTGATGGGTTGGAGTTTGCCCACCCCTGTGATAACATCACACAGCCAACTTCCACTGCATTGGCTCTGAGAGGTCATGTGACTTTTACAGCCTTGCCTCTAAATTCCCGTCATCATCACAGTGCAATATTTTTTTATTACATTGGCTATAAATGATCACATGTCATCACAGTTCCAGTAAACTTTCTGATTTTAGCACAGTCGCAGTGTTTGCCATCCCATCTAGCCTACACTTGCTTCTAAACGCCAATATATGTCTTATCTTCCAGTATAAGGAAGGCAAAAAACTGAGGCCAAAGCCAAACTACAACAGCGTGGATCTGTCGGAGGTGGAGTGGGAAGATCGAGATGAGAGTGTAAGTGATAAAACCACAAAGTTGGAAACAAAATCACCATATTATAATGCATCTAAAGCAGTGGTTCTCAACCTGTGTAACCTCAGGACTCACATTTGTCCGTGGCCATTAAGTCGTGACCCAAGTCATACTGCAATGAAACGCACGGCATTAGGGTACCGCACATTCAGGTGCGGGCTTACGAACTGTGGGAGGTGCGTTTGGGGTACCATGAATGGTAACGCAACACATTTCCCACACCAGAATGCACAGATGGTGCGATTGCATGGTACTGTGCGTTCATCGCATAGAACTATGCGATGAACGCACTGTACTAGTGTGAATGGGCTCTCAAAAATACTGACATACATAAACAACCACGGATACATTCTCACACACACATACACACTCTAAAAAATGTTTTATAAGGTCCACCCGGTCTTCCTACCTTTACAAGAACTGGAGTGGACTCTCAGCCTGGGGTCCAGTGTGGGCTGCTGTGCTGTGACACAGCTCCATCCATATGTGTATTGCTTGTCCAGCTCTGTTGAGTGCCTTGTAGAGGTGCTGAGAGCCAGAATATGGTGTCGCTCCAGTCCGGGCACCTCTATAGCACACGTGAGGGAGCTGTAAGCAATGCATGTATGGAAGGAGCTCTCTTGCGGCCATAGCCCCATCCCATCCCACCTCAAGCTGACACTTGGTGCCAGCACCATATTGTGAATGGCGCAAGAACTGACAGTGATGCAATAGGGGGAGGCTGAGGAGACCCTCACCTAGAAAAGTGGAAGGCATGCAGTGACCCACTGAATACAGGGTCGCGACCCACTTTTGGGTCACGTCCCACCAGTTGAGAACCAAGGCTCTAAAGCAAACCTAAGTTGCATGATGCATGTGAATTAACTAATGCAGTAATGGAGGAGAGGTGTGGAGGTGTGCCTTGGCATTGGGTTTTCCTAAAAGTCAAGATTTGGAGAAAAAAAGAAAATGCATCCCTTAAAGAGAACCTGTCATTTGAACATTCTTCACTGTGCACACCTCTGCCTTTTTAGTATTCCTTCTTTGAGTGCCCCACGGGCGCCTAGACCCCATAAGGTAATGTACATTCCCTTCAGTAGGTCACAAAGACCACAGACTTGTATTTTGGGATGGAAAGCAGAGAGGTGCATTTCTGAGTGCTAATTGGGACCAAAGTAGAGATATTAAATATTGCTGGCATTCTTAGTTCCGTAGCGTCCGAGCCCGCCACGTTCATGTCAGTTTGCATTGTTTATTCTACTGATAGGGGTGTCTTTAAATATGGATGTTTTGCTGGTCTTATGCAAAATGCATTTTCAACTAAGGTTTAAAAACAACATATTAAAGAATTTGTAGACGCATGACCCATCGTACCCCCAAACCTCCCTCTTCCCCCTCTAGATCATGTCTCAGCATTATTTTGTCTTTTTCTTGAGCAAGTTTTTGCTTACTCCCTGTGACTTCACCATCAGGCCTGTAAATGTTATGCAGGGGGCAGCTGCTTACGGCTCAGTTCTTATTGACATAGGAACAACCCAATAACTACATCTCCCAAGAGCCTTTTCCCTACATGAAGGATGTGTGCAGGCTTTTGGGAGTCAAGGCAGCAGGTATTTTGCTGGGAAAGATATCAATGTATGCATTTGGAGAGAGACAGAGAAGGGTGGGCATAGAAGGAGTTTTGTAGTCCAGTAGGCAGGACTGACAAATCTGCTTGGGATTTCAGTGCAGCAGGGGCACTGAGTGAAATTAGGGGCCCACTGGATTTCGGGAACATCAACAGGTATGTTTCTCTTGTTGCACCAATCTTAAACAAATAAAACATTGGGAATGTTCATGTATTGCAGAGATAGTCTGAGGTTGTGGGAGGTCTGAATTGTGTTTGGGGGTGACCGGTATTTTGTGGTGGCCTTATTTTTGTCCCTCACACAGCTCCGGACAGCCATGATCAATGGAGAGACAGGAACGCTCGCCATGGATGTTAAAGTCACTGTCGATAAGGGGGTAAGTGGATCTTTTTGGTGCTTGCTCAGGCCATGTCTACGCATTGCTGTGGATGGAAGCTTGCAATCACTCGCCTGATCAAATTTTTTTATGACTGGACGAAGGGACATCTTTGAAAGTCTTTGAAAAGGAGCTTTTTATTAAATGCCACTTGTGTTTTGTTTTTGCAGAAGCGTGTTCTATTTATGACCTGCGACTACTTCTTTACGGACATCAGCGACACTCCTTTCAGGTGGGTACATGTGAGCTATCATTCACGGGTCCTCCGGATTTAGGCAATTCAGCCGATGTATGTGAAACATAAAGGAAACATAACTCATCTGAATTTGCTCCCTTTGCAGCCTTGGAGTTGTTCTGACTCGAGGTCATGGGGAATACATCCTTATCGGAAACACGTCTCTGGAGGAAGGTAGGAAATCGATGAAGAGATCATTTTATTGGAGTGTTTTATATATTTCTAAATGTTTAGACCAGTGTTAGCCAATTGTGGACCTTTCATATAAATGATATCCACTAAAACCTTCATCTAAATACCTTGGACGTATTTGTGGTCCTCCCTCCCACCCGGCCTCAGGTGTTCTGTTTTATGACAGTCGGATCCTGCTCTGTATCTCAGGAACTACTGCAGTGGTTTCTAGTGTAAATGATTCCAGCAAACACTGTTTACAGGAATTTTGATAAACTCTTTTGAGCAATATTATTGTTAGAACATCATAATACCAGTTCTATGTGCAGATCCTTCAATCTGCATATAACATCAGCTAAAGCAACCTCACTGGGAAAAGAAGGGTTTATTTTGTAATTTCTATTGAACCCCTTTTAATGCTTGCTTAAAGGGTTAGTTTATATTTCAATAAAATGCACTATACCGTCAGGGGTGCACTGTACTTTTAAAATACTATGTAGCTTTAAAGTGTATAGTTTAATTTAATGTAATTACCTTACCTGTAGGCATGGGCATTAAAACGTAGTTTACCCACAGCCTGGCTGAAAAACTACTACTGGGAGAGATCAGTGCAGCCCTGACTGTGATCTGCCTTAAGACCTTTGCATGCAGTGTGCTCTCCCTCTCCTGGTTCAACTTTTGCATGCATTGAGGCACATTGTGTTAGCCAAGCTATTCAAAATGAATGTAGAAAGAGTACAAGTAGAGTGTTGAGTTCTAGGACAAAACATTTTTGTGTTTTGTATTCTCTATGTTCTCTGCATCTCATTGTTTTATCCATCAGGACTTCATGACCTCCTCCACCCTGACCTGACCCTGGCCAATGAATGGTGAGTGGGATATTTCCTGTAGGGTGACACTGCATCAATATCAGCTTAAAAAGGGAATGCAAAGCAAGGATTTGTAGGCCTTTCTATATACAGCAGGTGGAACTATAGGCTGTTTTATCACATGGTTCTCTATCTTTGGCTATTTGCCTGTTTACAGTCCTCAGTAGATGAAAGGTGCAAATTACACACTGTCTGGGTTACTCCTCCATTGTCATGCAGCTCTATCTGAGGTTTTATTCAGGAAAATAGAACATCTGAGCAGGCAGTATCTTCTTCTGTCTTGTCAAATTAGCAACTCCTTAGTGCTCTGTGAATTATTTGGCTTAAATGCTTATTTCTAAGACAAATATTTACATATTGTAAACAGATCAAACAAATATAAACCATCAGTGTAAAAAGTTTTAACTTTAACTGAAAGATTAATTTTACAGCATTCACATTACTAATAAAATCCGGTACTTACCTTCTTTGCTTTTCCTCACCACCCTACACCGTCCATGCCCCCCTCAATCACCTTCTTTAGGTTTTGACTTACTAAAAAAGTTGCAATTTACATAGGGGTTACATGGGGCACCCCCAAATCCAAACTCCACCACAGTGATTGGACACTCAGGGACTGAGTACTGTATTGGAGGAGCAGGTGGCAGTGGAGTGTCTTATATTTCCTCAGTTTTTCTCTGGGCTGTCTTTTTTTTGTAATGCTGATCACAAGCTTTGCTATTGATATGAACATATTGATATTGGACTTCAGCATTTTTTGTGGGTCCATGTCATGTTACTGCATCTTTTTCTCCCAGGATTTACTGTATCACGGACATTGACCCAGATCACCGCAAACTGAACCAGCTACAAGCCGTCACTCGCTTCCTATTGGGGGAGGACCCAGACCTGGAGTGTGAGTGACACCTTCCTACCCCCTACAGACATCATTAGTACAATAATATGCAATCTTTTTGGGATATGGGACAATGGCTGCATACTGCTTAGAAGAGGACCTGTTACCTGTCTATAGTGGGATCAGCTATTTTGTGATGTTGGCTTGGCAAATTTGTGAAATTAATTACTCTATTTATCAAAGTGTCTGAAATAGGAACTGTTTGTGTTCCTACTGAAGAATATTTGAGTGTGACTAGAAACTAAACTTTGATCTGATTGGTCAGTTGGGGTTGATACGGGCAAGTACGGTTCCAAACATTTTGTTAAAACTGTCCTTTTTTTTTCCGGTCCATTGGTCCAGCTGGAGCTAATGATGTTGCTGTGGCACATGGTGGCTCATGCTGCGGTGATGTCGCCAGCAAATAGAAAGGCTGCATTATCTATAAACTGTCATAATGGTTTTCCGCTTCAAAAAGTCTCCCATCGCTGTGCTTTATTCACATCTGGTTCATACTAATCTTTACATTTCTTCTTGGGTGAAAGAGAAAGGGTTTTGGTTTTGGGTCGCTCATTACTCTCCTCTTGCAGGTGATGAAGAACTAGTGAAGGAAGTTCTGTTTGATGCCGTTGTCACCGCACCGCTGGAAGCTTACTGGACGCAGGTGGCTCTTAATCTATCCATGTGAGTATAAAAAATGATTTCCCATTTACAAATCTGCAGGTCTTTCTTAGTAAGTTGCTGCAGAAAGTCTGGGTGGTTGCTTGCTGCATGTGTGAAACATGGAGATTGCCATATCTGACCTCTCCTAGGCTGCCATGTTAATCAAGTGGCTTCAAAACTTTGAGTCATAGTTTAGAACAAGTATAGAGATAATGATTCCTTTTTTCCCCCAACTTTCATTTGCTACGTGTATATTCTGGTCAGTGACTTGAAAGTACTGATCAGACACTGCCAGGCAATTGGTATTTTCAGGCAGCAGCAACAGCGGCCTTTGTCTGATGACCGGTGTACTTTCTAGAGATCTTGTCAGGTCTCTAATGATTTCATGCCTGCACCACCCTGTAATAGAAGGCAAATAATCTATCTGATGGCCCTTGTCTTCTCCCTCTGCTCCATTCCATTACTGCAGCCTCCAAAGCCTCTACGGCATTTGACACTTCCAGAAGTGTCAGATTCCTGTGTCCCCCACCTCATGCTGTTGTTTCTTCATCTGATCCCCCTATGTAACTGCTGAGTCCTGCAGTGGAGTGCAGATGAAGGAACCAATGTGGAGTGCATAGTCACCCTGCAAAATGTGGACTGGATGTCTGGGCTTCAATCAGAAATGGAGTAAGTCACCAGCACACTGTCTTCTTCAGAAATAAAGCTCGCCATTGAAGGTTTTAGAGGTATTTGCAGGGGTCATTGTGTACTTTAAAAGCATCAGACACTCAGGTGGGTTGAGCAGACCTCACTCCAGACACAGACCAAGCCAGGGCACCATGACCACAACCACTTTGGCAGTGGGACCTTAGAACCTCATAAGTGTTACTGTTTTTGTGATCCACCCTGAAAAGGGGACACCCCAGGTCCCAGGAGGAACCCAAGTCAGAAACAACCTCTGCCATGTTCTGTGAGCTAGCTGAAGGATTAGCAGGCAGCCATATTTGTAAAGGGGAACTGTCTTGTATGTCAACTTAAGGTCCCCACACACCTTGCGATAATCGCGGGCAATCCCGCGATCGTACGATTATCGTAAGGTGTGTGGAAGCCGTGCGACCTCTACTACTGTAAGGTCGCACGACTTTTAACTTACGAACATGTTCGAAAACCCGCCGAGCATCGTACGATGTGCGGCGTGTGTGTAGCATGTTCGTACGATAAAAGCCGGACGGCCGGTGTGCAAAAGCGCACACTGCCCGTTCGGCAGTGCGGTCATCAGAAGCCCGCCCCTCAGGGGGGCGCGGCTTGCGATCATCGCAAGTACGATCTGCCTGTCCAAGATAGGCAGATCGTACGTTTTTTTAAGTACCTTACAACCCTCGCAAGACAAAAGTTTTGCTATGGTTGTAAGGTGTGTGCCCAGCATTACTATTCTCTCATTATGATACTGTGTTGCACCTGTTCTCAGTGAGCGACCATCATCTCTGTTGGAGCTATTCCCTGTTCATTAAAGGTCACTGATTTCCACCTGCTTTGCTGTTCGAGCTGTTTCACTTTACTTTTATTCCCAGATAACTCTTGCATATCTTTTCTTTTGCTGCAGAAATGAGGACGGGATCGAGGTGGCCTTTCTGGGCACCCGTGCTGGGCTTATTCGGAAAAATCTGTTTGTGGGAGCGGAACTGATGTCTAACAGGTGAGTTGTGCTTTGTCAGGGTTAATAAAAGACAAAGAAGGGCCCTTTTCCAATGTCACCAGGACAGGGGCCCAACATGAGAACAGCAGGTAATTAAAGCTGAATTGTTCAAGATGTTAAAGAACCCATCTTTGTCTCCTATTGGCCTGTTAAGTCAATTGACTATTTCCTCCATGAGGGGGGGGGGGGGGGGGGGAAAAAAC